AGTTATTCGTATAAATGCACTCGTGGAATCCAAATTCTTATGTATAGACTTGTAATCGACCCTGAGATATATAATTCCATACACTGCTCGAAAAATAACAATCTCGAATTTACGAGTAGTGGGGCCGGGGGCCACGGCCCCATAGTCGTCATATTACGACTCGCAATTCGTAATCAATATCTTGTTTTATAGGAAATTGCTGTTGACATAGTCCAGAAGAAGGAATCTAATGAAGAAGGGTCAAGTATATTCAATAAGGTAAAATTATATCACTCTTAATACATTTTTTTAACTATGGTAAAAAGCATGTATATATATATATATATATATATATATATATATATATATATTTTGAATATTTTACCAAAAAAATAATTGTTTATCATTTAATAATACTATTTTATATAATTAAATACCAAAATACATGAATATGGTTGCGCGCGCAGAGTGTGAACTCGATTGTGAGCATAGAAGAGACGGTGGCGGTGGTAGAAGAGTATACCAGCAACGAGAAAAATTGCCAATGCTCATTTTCTGCGCTTGTAATGGAGACCTCGCCTGAAGAGTGTCGAGTAAAAGAGCCACTTTCTGCCCCGTTTTAAGATATTATTTTAATAAATAAATGAAAAATTAAATTAGTATTCATGACGTTTGAGATAAGTACATATTTGAGTTTTATTTAATTTTCCTATTGACAATGTTAAGGTGCACATTATTATTATTAAATTTATTGCATTTCTCTATTTTGCTAAAGTAAATAAGGATGGCTAGAGACTAGAGTATGGAGGTTATAATTAATGTTGCACTCAAAGATATGCAGACAATCCTTACCTAATATGTAAAAAATATATATACATCATTCTATATATATTAGTACTTATCATTTTATACTTATGTAAAGTGCACATAATTCATCTTATTACATATAATGCAAATACATATATTGGATAGATACTAATATACTCAAATATCAAATACATCAAACAGCTGGAATAGCTCAGTTGGTTAGAGCGTGTGGCTGTTAACCACAAGGTCAGAGGTTCGACCCCTCTTTCTAGCGGATTTTTAATTTTTTTTTTCAATATTTTGGACTTATTTTAAAAATTTGGACTTTAGTTATGGGCTTTTTGGTTCATATTTTATGTTTTATTATTATTATTATTATTATTATTATTATTATTATTATTATTATTATTATATACAATTTGTAGATGCCAAACTCGATAAAATACACTCGGATGACTTTAAACCATATATCTACACACTTATACATATGTGTACTTAATGAATGATTAATTGTACAAATCTACGGTTTAAAATCATCCAACCTATTTTATAGGTTGTAGTATCCCATACCTACATAAATACCAAAATAATCCACACACAACAAATTCATCATTTTTTTACAGAAAAGGCAACGTTACACCTTGACCAACAAACACATTTACATTTGCAAATCAAACCAAATCAAAAAAAAAAAAAAGCAGGACTTTAAATTACAAACCACAGAGAAATGGGAATTAAATTACAAACTCAAATCATAATTAACACACTTAATTTAGAACTCGCTCGAAAGTGGTGCGTGATCACCGTGGCCAATGTACACATTGCTGTAGACGAGCCCAGCCAGCCCGCCGCCGATGAGCGGCCCAACCCAGTAAATCCAGTGGCCAGAGAAGTCGCCACTGGCGACGGCCGGGCCAAAAGATCGGGCCGGGTTCATCGACCCACCGGAAAATGGGCCCGCAGCCAAAATGTTGGCCCCCACAATAAGGCCGATGGCGAGGGGCGCAATTGTGCCCAAAGAGCCCTTCTTCGGGTCAACGGCGGTGGCGTAGACCGTGTAGACAAGTGCGAATGTGATGATGATTTCCATCACCACTCCTTGTACGGCTCCGACACCGGCGCCCACACCGTGGATCGGAGTAGCCTGTGATTAATAGAATTGGAATACATATTAGATTCTAATTTAATCGATCGTTTTTTATTTATTTTTTTAAACTGCTCTTATAATATCAATACTATTATGTATTTTAAATTATAAGTGAATAAAACATTGGAAATTCCAATTACGGTTTTCAAACAATAATTTTTTTTTTCTTTCCAAATTATGAAATTTAAATTTATGATTTTCGCGATTTTTTTTTAAGCGGTGTTGGAATTAATTAGTTTTGCATTTTCGCTTAAAGTGCTAACTCCGATTTGATCTGTTGCGCAATCTTGTTTTCTTTGGTTTTTTTAAATTGAAATTCTATTTTAGGAAAAAGTTGTTTTCAAAACAAAAAAATTAACTTAGATTAAAAAAATAATTAATTTTTGTGCATGCTTTATATAAAATATTGTATAATAAAAAAAATGAAAAATTAAACTTTGGTTAAAATAAATGATTTTTTATAACTAAAATAATTTAATAAATTAAATAATTTAACTTACCAAACCACCGGTGACAAATGTGAGCAGAAAAGAAGCTACAACAGCACCCAAGAGTTGAGCAACCCAGTAGAAAAGTCCGGTGAGTATTGTGATCTGCCCGCCAACCGCCAAACCGAAGGTGACGGCGGGGTTGACGTGGCCGCCGGAGATGTTGGCGGCGATGGCCACCGCCACAAAGAGAGCAAACCCATGGCAGACGGCCACCGCCACCAGCCCTGCCGGATCCAGGGCGGAGTCGGAAGTCAATTTGTCTGTTAAAGAAAAGTGTAACAAAATCAGAATTATGTATATATATATATATATATATATATATATATATATATATATATATATATATATATATATATATATATATATATACTGCGTGATATATATACTGCGTGGATAAAAAAAAGTGATATATAGGAATAAAATGATGAGAGAGAGTATTAGTGGACTAATTAATGCACATGCAAATATAAAATAGGACTAAAATGCAAAATTAAGAAAATCTCGAAATTAATTAAGGTGGAAATTATAATAATTAATTAAAGAAAATGAGTTTAATATTAACTGTAAGCAATGGCGGAGCCGACTCCGGCGAAGACGAATAGCAAGGTGGAGATGAACTCAGCTATGTATGCCTTCAACGAGGCGAAACAGAACGAGTCGTCGAATCGTCCAAATGCAATCGCAGGCATTTTTTCGAAGAAATTAAGAATAAATTAATTCTTGAAAAAAGTAAACAAAGAGAAAAAAAATATTTATTGACAGAGGAAGAGAAAAGACAATTATACTTTGGGATAACACAAAAAGGGTTCTATGTTACATATATATACTAGAAAATCCACAAATTTATTATTATTTTTTTTGGGAGTTTTTATTTATTTAAAATTAATTTAATTCAGAAATATTAATGAGTATATCTGTGTAGCATATACCATATGCCTCGTCACAAGATAGATGAAGAAGAAATTAATGTACATCCTACGTGGAAAAGTCTACACCCTAATTAGTTGTCATCCTTAAATATTTTTATGGCTGGAACATCAAATTTAGCTACTTAATAGTTGATCTTTCGTAAAAATTCGTTTGAGTTCGGTTTGTTAATGTAGCGAACTAAGCTCGAAGACATGTATTTGTTCGATAAACAATGTAAGAAGCTCGACTCTAGCTCGTTTGAAAAAAAGAAGGATAAAATATGCACATAAATCAAACAACTTAAGCTAGATTCGTGTTTTCCTCGGTTAAAGCTCGACTTGAATGCTTATTAAATCAATTAGTTTATTCAAAACTTTGAAATTAGAGCTCGAAAATAGTCTAGCAAACTTGAACAATATAATCATACATACGTTCGTCCCGACTCGATTCGTTTAATTACACCTCTCTGTCATTTTGTTTTGGTCAAAATGGTGTTTTGGCTTAGAGCTAAAATGTAAGTCAAGCAATTCTACGTCTTGTTCGAGATTTACTAATTTTTAAACATTTGTTTAAGTATTTCAGTTTTGTTTGCTAGAAAAGTTCAAATTTGACTATATTAGTAAAAATAAAATTTGAATTCAATTTTGTATTAATTTGATTCACATTAGAAGACAATTTCACTAAATTCGAACAAAATTCTGAACATATGAAAGAAAATGGATATATCCGAGCTGGCATGGCATAATATCCATACTTATCCAATCAAAAGCTGTTGTTTGCAATCCTAGTTGTCAATAACGTGCAGTGATGTAGTTGTCTGGAAGGTGTTTGATAATATGTCCATGTGATGTGATAGTGAACCTTCAAATTAAGATAAACACTCAACTCTATCAAATTATAAATAAATAAATAAAAAATAATGCAAGTGCGGTCTAGTTGGTACAGTAAAAAAGTGCAAAATTAATAATTTAAATTCAAATTGCATTGCTAATGTTTTTTTACATAGAGTGTGCCGTACATGACTTATGTCTACTGTATAGTTTGCAAGTTATTGCATAAGACCGAAGATTTAATTAAAAAAAATTGATAAATTGTGGGACATATTTACTTCGTCTATCAAGTAAATATGAATGAGGTCGAAGTTTTTACATAATTGAAATAATTTCGAGGGTTATGAAAATAACAAAGACGATATAGTTTTTTTGTGCCGGGGCCTCTTCCATAGTGATGTTTGATTAGACATCAAAGATTCGAATCCTTTTGGGTGCGTGAGTTTTAAGACCATTTTTTGAAAGATATTTTTTGCATCGAAAACTAAAAGTGGGTTCGTTCACACACTTGTGGTGAAGTCTATGTAATGGCAAGGAGGCTATTACACACTACTACTTGTAAACCGTACCACACTACTTTAATTATGTGACAAGTTCGATCTAGAGATACCGTTGATAAGGAGATTCGAACTAATTAGGTCAATTGACACAAATTCTTTTGCTGAAACCACTAGGTCATCCCTTGCGGAACTCCGAACAGTTATTTGAAATTAGGTTTGGTGGATTTGATTAGATTTTTTCATGTTTAAAAACTATTATGGATAGGTATATTAGATAGGGCCTATATTATTAATGTTGATTAGGGGTTTAATAATAGAGATTAGCCGGCTGGATATTAATTAAGAAGGAATTTCCATTGGAAGGGATATGACTTAGCTTGATATTTATTATTATCTCTTAGGGTGGCTATTTTTTAATTTTCATTTACCTCATATATATATATATATATATATATATATATATATATATATTATTGAGTAGGTCAAAATGCTATAGACAACTAATATATAAACTACTAACCCTAACCAATTATGAACAAGTATCAATAATTAAATATTAAATTTCCCCAATGAAGGCTTAATTGTGGAGTAACAAGAGTTTGACGTCTAATAATTTGAGTATTTGCAAGTTGCACAAGAATGTAATTCACCGTTGATCTCCACACACCAATATAGGTGTATGTATTTGTGTGTATATGAATGGTAAAGATCTACTCGGTATAATTCACCCAGTATAGCATATTATAAACCGTTTTTGCGGAGAAGATGGTGTTATTATAGTTGTTTTCACTCAAATTTTTAGTAGTTTTCGCTGAAATTGAATGTTCTTGTTCTAGCAGTTTTGTTATAATTAATTATAGTATTTTTCTTGCTGGAATTTGTTGTTTTTGTAGATTTTGTTGCTGTTTTTGCTTTTATGGTAAAACACAGAATATTTTTTTTTTTTGGTTCCAATGATTTGTTCATCTACATTTATAAGAGCGAACTACTAATATTTTGTACTTAATTACGTTAATTTAATTTCGTAGTGAATTTCGATAATTCGTAGTTACAAATGTGCCATGTGCCAAAATTCAAACCAGGGGAGATTTAAGTGTTATTTACTCAAAAAAAAAAATGAAATTAAGGCAAAATTGTAGTTGATTACATATGCTTAAGCAAAAGTCTATTCGATCGCCATCGCCTCCGCTTTCAGTTTGGTAATTTCAATTCGAAATTCTTCCAATGTCCGTTTCATCTCCTCCAACATCTTCATTCGGTTGATTCGATCTTCATTTTCCTTCCTAATTCGTTTCCCGTCAAGTTCCCGCAACTCCCCCGTACAACCTCAGGAACACAACTCGACACCAGCAATCATCCCCCGCTACAGAATAACCAACATTACCGACAGCTGGTTCGTATTTTCCGCCACTTTTGAAGCTTCAGCAGATCTCCTTGCAACCGAGTAATGGACGACAGCCACATACCTGAGGGCAAGGAACTGTACAATTTCTTCGAACCCACGGGTTCAAATATCCTTCCGTAATTTAATTGATGATCTCCCGTCGAAGACGAACACTTGGATTTGTATAATCGAATCAAACCTCGGAAAAAAGCCATCGAATTATATATAATAATATAATATAAATATATATACACTTTGTATTACAATTGAAGAAGGATTTAAATTTGCGATTTCTTCGAACCCTAGACCTTTACCCTATTGGTAAAGGCTAGGTACCAACTCTCCTAACGAGGGTTGGTAAGTAGAGATTATGTATTAAAAGGGCTAAATAAATTTTTATTTATATTTCAAAAAAAATACTTATTTATATTTTGAAAAATAGATATCAATATCTATTTGCTACATTACATTGAGATTTTGGAGGAATTTTTAGTTGAAGAAAAAAAAAATCCTTATTTTTCTTAAGTGCAATTTTGCCATTAACAAATTGGGGGATTTATTCGAAAGACTAATTATGACATGGATCTATAGCTACATAATCTAATACTTAGGGGCTACATCGAATTACCTCTCAAAAAAATATATCCTCTTTGTTATAATTAAATGGAATCATTTAAGTTTGATGCAATAATTTAATAGGGAAAATGTAGAATATAGTGGTCTAATTTCAAATTTATGATAAACTTCAATATATGAAGACTTACTTTATTAAATTTTTATAATTGAACAATAATAGAGGAAAGTTTAAAATCCCCACAAATCTATTTTAAAAAACAGGATTAAATACATTAGGAAATACCTATTGTAAAATGCATGAGTAACGTATCCTCCATTACCCTATATAAGATAAAAAAAATGGTCCAGATATAATTTGTTTAATGATTCATTGCAAATTGATAATTGATAATAATTATATTTTGAATATAATTGTATAAAATTGTATAAAAAACAACTTATTCATAAATAAAATCTTATATATATACCCGTATTTTAAGATTTACACGTTTCCTCGAGTTTCCATATTCCCATTTCTGGAAACATACCGTTTTTCCATGTCCGTTTTCTCATATCGCCATTTTCGTGTCCGTGCTACATAGAGTAAAACTTAAAAAATTATAAGATATTTTAACTAGTAAGTACTACACACAGCCATATTCCAACTCATAAGATTATTATTTTTTTTTTAAATTAAGGAAAAAAGGAAGGAAACATGAATATAAATTCAGTTGTCTCCTTACTTCTCAATACTCACTGTCTATACTATTTCAATTAACATAGTACATGCACACAATTTCAAATAAATCACTAATTCAAAAAAAAAAAAATGAATTTATTTAATAAATTAAAAAAGTGAAAAAAGAGAGGTAGATAAATCAATAACTCCAAGAACACAACAAACAAGTGTAGAGAGAGCACTGTTAATGCAGAGTAGCTGCAAATCAACAACCTTGCTGTAAATGCCAATAAATCATGTAACCATAATTCCCTTAATTCATTTAATTTTGGGACCAATGTGACTTTTAAAGACACCACTCCCACCCCCATATCCCTACTACACACCATCCCTTAGCCCCCCAAATAAAATTAAACATCAAATATTTCAATTAAATCCCAATTCAAATTTTATATATATACACATTCCATTTTATTCCATACATAACCTCAAACTTTTCTTTACCTATTCCTCCAAGCATGGAGATCAACTCCGAAAAGAATCTATGGAAGTTTCTAGACGAAGAAAGACGAAACATAAACCTGCCGAGAAGATTCTCATTCGGCAAAAACGAAACCGTCGATTCCCACCTCTCGTCGGCGAGAACTTCATGCGCCTCGTCAGCATCGCTCCCGCTCTGGTCGACGAGCCCCGAGACACCGTGGACGAGGTCCCCGACCACTGCCACCACCGCATCCCCGTCGCTGCCACTTCTCTACCACTGCCTCGCCTCCCTCCACCGCAGCGAAGGCAGCATCTTCTCCATCACGGTCACTAAAGACTTCATTTTCACCGGTTCCTCCAGCACTAGAATCCATGCATGGAAGCAGCCCGACTGCTCCGAAACGGGCTGCATCAAGACCCCGTCGGGCCAAATTCGGGCCATTCTCGC